GACCATATTACCTCAAACTTGTTTAGAGAAAAATAATGTTTTTTGGAAACAAATAAATCTTATCATGTAGCAGGTTAAAGATAATCATAACACAGTTACAGTTAAGTCATAAAAACACATGGACATGTCTCCTCCTCAATTCAAAATCATTATCAGAAAAAGAAGACATGATTCATTTGAAAATAAGACTGTAAAAATATCACAGTGATACCAGTTTATTGAAGGACCTAGATTAAAGTAAGAACTAGAGGTAACAGAACACCTCCCAATTTTATCCTTCACAGTTTCTACTGAAACTAATAATGACTGTAGTGAATAATTAGCCTTTGTGTCTCCCCACAGTTCTGAAAGTAGAATTTATGGTTATAACATACAGACTTTTCAAAGAAAGGAATGTTTATTTGACCTACCTGTATGTCTTGAAATATGTATTTAGCACAGCTGTTCTTTTGTGTTAAACTCATCGCAAAATGCAGCTTTAATGTAACCCACCATTGATCTGCAGTAAGTGGAAACAAAATCTCTCCTTAATTAGTATCATCCAATCACTTTTTTACATTTCTACAGAACACACACTGTGAACTGTTTAATGGACTATTATTTAGAAAAGTGGCAAAGAGCACACCAAAAAAAAAAAAAATACGGTGAAAATAAAAACTAGCTGTGTCAATGAAAAATATGTTGTGAAATAATAGAAAATAAGATGTTTCATTAACATGAGCTTCCCCAGCATTTTACCGTAGAGATGAACGGAGCCCCAATTACTGCCAACAATGGAGACAGGGAGAGAGAGAGAGAGAGAGAGAGAGAGAGAGAGAGAGAGAGATTCATTACCTTCAACACCCTTAACTGTCTACTAGTGAATTCGCTTATCTGCTTCTTTTTCTACAGAACCTGCACGGAGCGGGGAGGAATAAACAAAGAACTGAGTGGAGTAAATGTGTCACAAATTACCACAAACACACTGTGACTCAATGCACTTTTCATTTCTCTCCTCATTAACTGTGTCTTGCTCAAAATGAGCGACTGGGTCCAAACATAATCAAGTCCCACAGATAACAATTGACTAGACTGCTGGGGCAGTCACCTCCTCCTAGCTAGTGGGAAATAAAATCAGAAATAAAATGCGTTAAAATAAAATTCACTCTATTCTCTTTTCTGCACTTAGATAATTTGAAGACCATCAAGGCCCGTAGAAACAATCCATCTTTCTGTGAAAAAGGAGGTGTCTGAACCACCACGAATAAGGCATGCCTTTAGTGTTATCAAGAGTGAGAATAATTACCCGGCGAAAAGGCCAGCAAAGTGTCTTGGGCACTGGCATTTTTTTTTTTCTGAAGTCTTTATCCATAGTGCTACCCGAACAATAATAAAATAAAAGCCGTGTTACGGAGAGCCAGACAGCAGAGAGGGGGATGGAAAGAAAAACAAAATAAAAAGAAGAACCTCTCAGATTGGTGCAACTGACCTATAATTTTGAGAGCACATTATAATTTGAAAGCAGTAGAAAAAGAGTCCTTTTTGTTGTGCTTTTATGTTTTATGTTAGAAGAAGAATTGGTTTCAAGAATTTTTGAATTTTTTTGTGTATGCTCTTTTAGGACCTGGTTTTATCAAAGCAGTGATTTTTCAGCAAAGCTGTGAAGGGCTTCCTGTTTAGAAAGGTGTTTCTGTTTCTTGTTTGAATGCTAGCTAGGATACTTTATTTGACTCTAAATCAGGATGAAGTGCTTGTAAAGGATGCAGTCACTCCAGGTTTGCCTCTTAGAAAGATAAATGAATGTAAGAAAAACTCTTCCTTCTTGGGCAGTGGAAACGTAAGCCAGTCACATCAGGAGATGGGTTTCAGACTAAGACTAACCCAGCTTTGCCTGAGAGTGACACCAAATGACTCTGACGCTTTCCTGACTTCTTGCAAAATTTCAGTTTATCTACTTTTACCTCATGCCGCCGTGACTGCAACTAGTTGTTAACCCCCACCCCTAAGGCACCTCTACCATAGGCTAGTATCTCACCAACTCATCCACCAAATGTGGAGGCCAGGAGAGTGGAAGTAGGTTAGGACCACGGAGAACCTCCAGGTGAGGCTGACACCTGCAAGGTGTGAGAACCACAGCAAAACTCACCTCACACTTCTGGGTGTGATGGAAATTACAATGAACTAGCCCAATAAGTATATTACATTAGTCTGGGGACCAAAATATACAAAACACTAAATACAATTCTAATTAATTGGGATTATAGAATGCCGTCATGCTGGGATAGTTGTCCCTGTTGGTTTGATTTCTTCCACTTCTGCTCTTCAGCCTGTCTCATCTTATCCTGAACCCTGCACCTTGAACCCTGCTTTCTGCTATTCTTACCCCCACTGCTATTATTAATTCTCTGAACTGGACTTGATTGAACACAGATGAGGATCATTCTGGGAGCCATTGGAAGAAAACAAAACACATTGTTCATACATTAAATTGTGTCATTCATCGAAGAGGTAGTGGGACAGTTTTGCAAAGGAAACAACATTCTTATAACTATATCAACAACTGAAATTTCTTTGAGCAAAAACCATGCCCTCCAGAATGTATGGTGGAGGTTTCCCCTGTACAATAGGCTAGTATCTCACCAACTGTTCTATTTTTGTGTCTTATGTTTAGGTGCCAGAGTGGGACGTGGTGGGAAGCTAAAGAATAAAAGAACAAAATGAGGACAGCTCCAATTTCATTGTGGGGTGATTCTCAAATGCAGTGGCTATCAGAATCATCATTAAACCTAATGAGAAATGTGGAGGCCAGGACAGTGGAAGTAGGTTAAGACCATGGAGAACCCGCAGGCGATGCTGACACCTGCAAAGTATGAGAACCACAGCAAAACTCATCTCATAGTTCTGAGTGTGACAGAAATTACAATGAATTAGCCCAATAAGTATATAACATTTGTTTGGGGGACAAAAATACACAAATTACTAAATAAAATTCTAATTAATTAGGATTATAGCTCAATTTGATATGATTGATACCATTATACTCCCACATGTGACTTGGGATTAAAATTCCCTTTTTTCTAGTCTAGAGTTTAGTCAAATTATTGAATTCTAAAATCACCAAATGCTATTTATCATGGGTCTACAGGGTTCTCATAGGGATCTTACAAGATTACTCCAGTTTCTGCTGTGGGGAACATAAAGTTTGAATCAGTATCTAATAGACCTAATTAGATGTTAATTTTAAAATCTATGTATAGATAAATATATTTGCACATAATTAAGCCAATGTCCTTTCTGTAAGAATTCTCCGGGACTTAATGTTTCTCGTATGCTGAGTAAATTCAAGAGATGGAAGTATTTTCCAAATTTATTTCATTGTGGAAAACTATTCCAGAAACATCTCATCAAATGAGACTCCACTGAAGCATCTTTGGGAATCACCAATCTAAATTAAAATATTAATATCACATCATGAGAAAAAAAATCTACTCCATTTAAAAGGAGACAAGTTTTAGTTTTTATTTATAAGTTCAGTTTTAAATAAGAGGGTCTTAATAACTGAAGATGAAAAGACAACACTTACAAATGATATTAAGAGTGTGATAGAATGATTTTTCTCTTTAAAATGCTTGTCATGTCAAATCTTAAGAACATTTTCTATGCTGACATTGTTGGCACTGTACAAGATGTGCTTTAAAAACAAACAAACACTAGACCGTTCTCTTAAAAAAGTGGAAAAAGGAAGGTTAGGAGTGAAAGTGGGTACAATTTTTCTTTTATAACTAATCATGGGGTTCCTAAACATAATGCATTTCATAATCAATTATCTTTTGCATCTTGCTGGGTCCGGTGATTGTCCAACTGATAACAAGTAGATGAGTTTGGTTGTTCTTTTGTCTTTCCCAATATGCAATCTATCATACTGTTTCTAAGATACAAACGATATCTTGAAAACAGCAAGATGACTAGCCCAGAGAAGCTGGATTTGAAAAATTGGCAGAGGAAAGGTTTGAATAAGACTTGTCAAGCGAGTCATAAGACACATCTGCAGTCTAATAAAAGAAAATTGCATTTTCTTGGAGTTGTATTTACTTAAAAATTTATTTCCATAAATTTTCAATTATTGGATACCCTTATTTGCCAGCCATATTAAACTTGGATAAAAGCCTCATTGATGGGATTGCATCATTTGATAATGGGCTCGTACCTGTATCAGTTACCTGACAGCTCAATAGGACATGGGGAAAACATTTAAAATATTCTCATTTTACAGAAAACAACACACAGAGAGAAGAAGGTGAAAACATTTGTCCATCACTTCCATGCAACAAATGTGAAGTTTCACCCCTTCGTTTCTTCCTCCTCCCTATTGGAGTTTATTGCCTCCTTTCTCATACCTCCTTTTGCCGATGGGAGATGCCATGCACTGACCAAAAGTGTTTCAGCTGGAAATACGCTCACAGAATCTAGGAGAATTATCCAGTAAAGAGGCCAATATCATGATCTGTGCAACCTTCCAAAATACCACCGAAAAGTTGGGGGATATTTTAGTTTATTTCTCATGAAGGCACTTCAAAGGACATTAACTCTAGCCAGGACTGTCAGACAGCTTTGTGCTTTATGTTATTGTGACGTTCCTAGTAGTTTTGTTTGGAATTAGGTCATAGAATAGTTAAAAAAAAATCAATCACAGCCAATCTTACTATATTTGTATTCAAGTAATAAATAGAAATTTTGAATAACACTGAAATTTAGTGGTGCATAGTTGTACATCCAGTGAGCTAAGCCATGCTGGTTTCATTATACTTCCATTTAATTTTCTAATTAATCTCAGAAAACATTAATTAATTTAGTCTTTTCCACAGGCAGCCTGGCACCCTTGGGCCTAAAACACCACAAATATTGCTGGCCTCGAGCAGTAGTAATCAAAATTTCTAATTTGTTTGAATGATCCAGTATATTTTTCCTTACTTCTCTCTCTGTAAATATTCCTTAATGTTGCTTTAACCCTTTGATTTTAGATTTTCTATGAATGCATGAATGAAAGAGTGAATAGCTATCTCGTGACAAAGAGAAATGACAAGGCAGAGACGATGAGAAGACGTGCTTTTATATGGAGACAGTTGACTTTTTTTGCTGGAAAAATGCATGCGCATGTTCCAGAGGGACCCTAGTTTGATGCTGTTTGAGTGTGGAGCCACCCTGCCATCTGCCCCGTCATCCACCAGAATGACTGTTCACTCATCACAAAACTTACAACGTTAACTCACAGCGAGATACGTATACGGAAAAATGAACACCGTTAAAATACAAAAGGACTGAAATTGTAGTTCTCTCTTACGTTTTGCCATCGAAAGAACACGTATTTCACAGCTTCACTCTTTCTGAAATAACAAACAAACAAAACAAAACAAAACACAAGACAAAAGAAAACCGGCGAAGGTGATTTCATTGACCCCAATTTTGGAAGCAAGGAGAAACAAGCATGTGAGATAAAGTCTACAAAGCAGTGCAAAGCTACTTAAAGAAGAGATATTTGAGCTGTAATGCAAATGCATCATTTAAAAAAGAATAATTTATCTCTGTTGACAACAGAGGGTGTAATTAGACTTTCTATATATCATACTGCATATGTTGAAGGAGTTATCACACTGTTATATTTAGATTGGAAATGTCCTTAAAATTTTACTGCAAAATAGATTCTACATAAATTTTTTTATTGTACACCTTTTTAGAGAATAATGATTAAATTAATGCCCTTGTACTAGTAACCAAAATTAGAAACTAAAAAACTACCTTCTTAAAAGCTTCCTCTGTGCCTCTCAACAAGAGTAGCTCCCTTTTCCTCAGAGGTAACTGCAGTATTACCCTAATTTTGTTTTCATCTAATTTGCTTCTTTCTAACTATATTCATGTATCTGTATCCCCAAACACTACCATATTCGTTTCAACCTATGTTTGGACTTTTTATCAATGTAACTACTCTGTGTTGCATTCTCTTTTGAGATTCATTCATGTTAAAGCCTAGGCAATAGTTTATTGGTTTCTTAGTGCTATATTCTATTGTGTAATGTGGCACCATTTATTTGACCATTGTTACTACTTAAGACTATTTGAATTAGTTCCAGTATTTACTATTATGAACAATTTTGCTATAACATCTCTTGGTTTGTTGTGTAACCATTTCTCTAGGCTATATATCTAGGATTAGACTTGCTGGATAAAAATGTCTTTATACATTCAACTTTGAAAAGTAATGGCAAACATTTTCCATAAAAAGTCATACCAAATTACTTTCCTACCAACCGCAGAGAAGAATTTCTGATGTTTCACATTCTAGGCAATGTTCAATATTATCTGATTTTTAAGAAATATTTGACAATTCAATAATTTGAAAAAGATATTTTATTATGTTTATAATTTGCATTTTATGACTACAAATAAGATGGAACACTTTTTCATTTGTTTATGAACTTTTCATATGTTTTCTGTGGAATGGCTTTTCATTGCATTTGTTCATTTTTTGAATTGACTTTTAAAATCTTATTAATATTTTAGAAGTTCTTTATTTATTTTAAATATGAATTCCTCATCAATGATATGTGTTAGAATTTCTTCTCTAAGTATCCGGTTTGTCTTTTTAATCTTATAATGATGATTTTATAGACAGAGGTTTTTAATATTAAATGATTTAAGTTTATCAAACTTTATTTGCACTTATACTTAGCACTTTTTTTTGGACATAAATTCTTCGTTGTCTTGAAATCACAAAGATTGCCCTATATTGTCTTCTTAAAGTTTTATGTATTTAGCTCCTACATTTAAGCCTTTAATTAACCTACTACAGATTTTGAGGTGTGTTTAAAGGTGGGAATCCAATTTTATTTTCTCTCATAACAACCTACTCCCAAGCTAACAATTGTTACAATTGTTACACAGGTATTGACAGAAGACATTAAACTATGGGTCGGGGACAAAGGACGTCTTATTTGCCACAGCAATAGAAGTAGCTAGGATGTCACGATTTTTGTGCAAATTTTCCAAACTGCAATTCTCACAGGATAATGTGAAAAGGGCTAGGTGATGCCTATGCATGCAGCGGGTTGTGTTATAGGAGAATAACACTACAATGAAGGAGCCCAATATTTTATAATGAGCATTGAGCCTATCTAAACTGTGCCTCAAAGGGAGACATTATTATTCTGAACAGTAAATAAATCTGCCCTTTGGAAGAAGACACTATTTCTGTCCTCCAGGCTGTTTGCAATACAAGCATCCTTGTAGCACAGAGAAAAGTAGCCAATGCTTCTGCCCACAAGATGTGTAGAAACGTGAGAGACTTACTGCAAAGTGTCTTCTAGTTATGTTTTTTATTATCTAAGAAAATTCCTTAAAGTTATAATTTGGTAACATGTTATCTCTTTATAAAACCATAAATAGAAAATAATATTCTATTTATTTCTTCTTTCCTTAGGCTTATCCTATTTCTTCTTAGCTAATTTCTAAGTTGAATCATTTATTCATGAAATCTGAGCATTTTAAAAAAATTATTCAAGGTTACCATTTTCTCTTGAGAACTTAGCTTTAGTTATATCTCATAGATTGTTACTATTTTTCTCTTATTCCTTTTCATATTCTAATTTTTATTATGATTTACTACTTGACCAATGAGGTATAAAATATGGTTTTCAATGCAAGTATGTAGAATATCTCTAATTATCTTTTCTTGTTAGTGCTTTCTAACTTCATCGTATTGAGGTTATATCAGAGAAAGCTCTGTGTGACACAACCCCTGAGATATTTTTTTGAGGCTAGCTTTACAATGTAGCCTTTCATCAGTTTTCATAATTGTTTTGTATATTCCCCTTAAAAATAAGGTGTCTTCAATTGATGGGAGAGATTTTTATATATACCCATTATATGAATTTTTATACTTTTAATATTCAAATATTGTATAGCCTTATGTTTGGTTCATTTGTCCTATTTTATAAGTATGATCTGTCATCAGTTGAAAGATGTATGTCAAAGTACCCACTAGGAACGTATATGAATGCATTTGGTTTGAAGCCTTTCAAGTTATCCCTTACATATTTTTGAGGCCATATTACTACATGTGTTAGCTTATAATTGTTATATGTTCCCAGTGAAATAAACTTTTTATTAATGAAGCGTTTTGTATTCATATTTGATCTGAAATTAATGTAGCTACATCAGATTTCTTTGGTTAATATATACCTAGTATATCTTTATTTTTGTCTTGACATCTGATTTTACTTTACCCTTTGGCTCAAGGTATATCTCTTAGAAAAGATGTTTACTTTGCTTATTTTTGTTTTGTTATATTCTGTTTTTCACACATATTTAAACTTTTATCTTTTATTTGAAAATCTAGCTTAATAATATTTACTGTGATCACTGTTAATTTTATAATTATTTTTAACTTCTTATTATTATTTGTCTTACGTTTTTATTTTTTCTACATTTTCAGTATTTCTTTTATTCTTTCCCTTCCTTCTTACCATATTTTGGATTTGTGGAATTTGTTTTGTTTTGTTTTAATTTTCTCCTCCTGTACTTATTTGGAGGTAAACCTTCTCTTTATATTCCTTCAGTGATTAGTATGATGAGGTAGGACTGTTTTTACATAGTGAAAGAAGGAGGAATATATGGAGGCACCCAGGTGATCCGCCTGGGCCCCTTTTGTTATTCCCGCGACCAGTGGCAACTGTGAATGAAAAAGTATTGCCACTTGGGCCAGAAAAGAGTGTGGTGACCAAGGGCTTACATTCTCAACACTAGGAGTTAGGGTCACGTTACCAGCCAAGCCACTCAAAGCTGTAGAGGTGAAAGCTGAAGGTGAGGGTCATTCAGAAGAGGAAGTGTATGGGAAGAGAACGAGTACCAGTTGTGGCTTCAAGAGTAATACAATGGTGGAGGCATATAGTTCCTCCTAACAACCTCCCTTTTCTCATTTCCGCTGAGGAAGCCCATGAGAACCATGGAGGAGCTTCTCTCTGAATATGCAAGGTGAAGTGGGTATTTTCCATATACCCTGTAGCTTGTGGGGCAGACAGCCATGCTAAGATATCCTCGCAAAGAAGAGCTGCTGTGAGGCGTGCAGAGTGTGGTGGCCTCCAGCTGCACTGCTTGATATCTGCCTTTGAGCCAAGTCATAGTCTCCCTAGGCAGCTAAATTTCAGCCAATGGCTGAGTGTGGTGGGGAATTGGGGCTTGAACATCTCTGCCCAACACAGTATCCTCCCTGGGCAATCCTTTTACTCAAGCTCTCCATGGGGCTAACAGAGTTTCTCTGATATGCAGTTGTCTATGTCTTCTCCTACCCATCCTCCTTCCTTTTCCCTCTCCTTTTGCCAGAGTCACCAGACATTCCTTGCAGTCTCAAGGCTTTCCTTGCTTACTCTCACTCTTTACCCCTTTATTTGTCACAGGCATTATCCACCAAAACCTCTTATGCTTCCAACTTTACAATAATATCTGCGGCTGAGAGGACCCAAACTAACATTCACGATTAATTCCAGGTCTCTAGATGAAGAGAAATATCTACCAGTAGGTAGATTCAAACAATTCAATAAGTAATTACACTCTAACAATCTACAGACTATTTGAAAAAATAATACACACAAATTAAAAGAAAATGTATCCATTTTATTTCATAATGAGTAACCACAGCTAATTACAAGTAAGACCATTTGGTGGTCTACAACTCCTTAAACCGTTGGAAAAGGTGAGGCACTGATACATCTCTTCTTGTTCCACATTGATGTTCATGTTCACTTGAATTTCTATCTTCACAAGGATATAAAGCCATTGAAAGGGTTGTAACATGATCTAATATTAAAACCATAACCAGACTAGGAATTTACTCTGAGTCTGATAGGCAGCAAGTATTGTTGTCCTTCCTTTGAAAATTTAAGTCATCCTGTGACTTCTCTGTAGCCCTGTGTTACACCTTAGGGTATACTTTGGCTATTTTACTGCATCCATTTTTCTGAAGGTTCTTGTTCATTGTTCTTTGTCTGTTTATTTTATTTTATTTTTTATGTGAATTTTTTTAAAGACTTTATTTTTTTGGAAGAGGTGTAGGTTCACAGCAAAATTGAGAGGAAACTGCAGAGATTTCCCATATACCTTCTGCCCCACACATACACAGCCTCCCCTAATATCAACACTCCCCTCCCCAGAGTAGTACATTTGTTACAATAGATCAACCTACATTTGCACACCATCATCACCAAGAGATGATAGTTTACATCTGAGTTTACTTTTGGTGGTGTACATTCTGTGGATTTGGTGTATGCATAATGACATGTATCCACCATCATGGTATCATATGGAATAGTTCCACTGCCCTAAAAATCTTTTGTGCTCCACCTATCCATGACCCCATACCTTTAAATTCAGCAATCTTTTTACTCTTTCTACAGTTTTTTTTTTTTTTCAGAATGTCATATAGTTGAAATCGTATGAAACACAGACTTTTCAGATTGGCTTCTTTCACTTAGTAATAGACATTTTAAGTTCCACCGTGTCTTTTCAATTTGTGTGTGTGTGCTCATTTTTTTTAGGGCTAAATAATATTCTATTGTTTGGGTGTACTAATGTTTATTTATCCATTCATTTACTGAAGGACACCTTGGTTTCTTCCAACTTTTGTGTATTTAATACCAGGTCTGCTCAGCAATATATGTAAAGAGTTAGGGATATTTGTTTTCTTTTTCTTTTTTAATTTTTTGTATTTTGGTTTTTGTTTTCCATTTCAGTTTTGTTTTTAGCCTGTAGATTACTTGTTTCCGTAGGGAGGACTATTCAGAATATTTGATTTGCCATAGTTCTAGAAATGAAAAGTCCTCCATTCATTCTTCCATTCATTATGACCTGGCTCTGACTCCCCAACTTTACACACTGCCTTCAGTGAAACCACTCAAACATTTTTTGTTACCAAGTCCCATGAACATGCTTGTGTCTGCCTTCATCTCAACTTCTCTGAGGCCAGAACATCTGGGAAAGTTCTTATCTCCCTGGTCCGTACATCGATTTCTCCAAGCCCAGTAGATATAGTGTTCTTTTCAGTATTCTGTCAGAGGAGCACTTTTTTTCATTATACATCCAGTTAGAGCGAGAAAGTCACCTTATCTGCTCCTCTGACTTCAATTAGAATCTAGATATTAATAACTCCCAAATCTGTATTTTTGTATATCCAGGCATATAACTAACCATATCCACGATGTCTTCTATAAAACAGACTTCTATTCCTGTTCAGGGAAGATATTTAGAAATTATGAGAGAGACATTAAGAATAGCACCTATTCTTTACTACAGTACTGGAAAACCGCTTTCTAATTTGAGATAGGGCAGGTTGCAATGATATCTCATGAACGTGTAAATGTTTTTTATGGGAAATTATCCTTGAGGATTCCATATAAAGCTGATATTCTAATTCTCATAGAATAAAGGAAACTACAACCTGGAATGAAGAGCTG